CAGCGATATCGGTAGAGGATTATATTCGCCGACGTTTCGATTACCGTGGGTAACCTTTCTCAAGGAAGTTCTACAATCAAATGACTCAGAGGAGAGGATCACAAGTCAACGGAAATTTCATCGTGTGTGTGTGTGTGGCGCGTGTGTGTCTGTGTCTGTGTGTGTGGTGGGCTGAATGATTCGTTGTCTGACATACTAACTCCCATTATCAGATGGGGTCAAGTGGCACCGTGACCAATTAACCATATAACATTCACAATAAAAACAACACATGGCGCATCGACTTTTTGATACACTCCAAACATCATTTAGTCCTGATGCGTTAAGAACCACCTGTTGGATTCTTAAATAAAATTGTCTGGTGAGATATATTTAGCTCGTTCAGCCTAAGTATACATTTTCGATGTCGCATGAGAGTTAGACAAATGTTTCTCGGTAGGGTTCCAAAAGTGAAATGCACTTTTACTAAAGTCGTTCTTTTCCTGAGGTTGGCAGTTACGATGACTGAGCAAAGCGTTTCCGGATACGCAGTACAAGACGAGTACGAAGTGCAGATGATGCCCGGGGGCAAGGAAAATGTGGACTGTGATCCATTGTGAATATTGTTCACTGATTGCGACTCACAGAACCAAATATCAACAACTGAGTACAGCTTCTAAGTCATACAGGTCGTTATACTCGGACTGTAAGGATGGAACTCAATCGATGTCACTAGAGGGTGATGATTTTCTACGACGAAAATGTGGTTTGAAGCATTAGCAGCAGTGTTGATCGTTCGTCACCTGCCTTTGGTGATCACGCTCCGTGTGCCTTTTTGTATTCCCACATGTCAAGCGCATAATACGTGGAATCAGATACGAGTCACCAACAGCTGCAATGCAATCCTTCATTGAACTGGTCGAAGTGTAACCCGCTTCGACAGGATCGAGCTATTCCATCAAATGGTTTGAGTGCTTTGAAGTGTACATGAACACTGGTGGAGAACATTTCAATAAAATGTGATGCTTACTTCTGTGAAAAAATAGAACTTTCTGTGCATCCGGGAAGTTTCTGCTCAGTCCTCGTATTCTCATACGCTCGCCTAGTGATATCAAACTAATGATTCTCCCAAGGGTGTAGGAAGATCCAGTAACTCCAGAACTTCCGTATAGTGAGCATGATCGTGTCGAATGTGACGAATGTTTGGACTATTTATTCTCTTGAAGAGCACAAGTATCCGAGTGATTTCCTTCGACAACTGGTGGTATAACGTCCCGAAGCGTGTCATGAGAACATAAAGGGATGATCATCTAGTTTCGTCTATCCTTGCAGCACGAACGGAACGCACACCATGGATGAACCTTTGATGAATGCCATGCGAGTCAAGATTGTTCAGTTTATTGAGCAATACATGCCAGTAGTAGCGAAAGCCACCGAAGACGTCCAAATTAAATAATTTATGGTATCTGGGGCCTACACTGTGTTTGGACTGGTCAGTCTAGTTTGTCTGCGTTTCTGCTCACCTGGTGCGATCGAGCACTTCCGTGACGGTGGAAATCTTATCCGATACTAGGACAGTATTTGTTGGAACCTAACCCGTGATCCCCGCAACACAGATTTTCAGCTACATCGAGCTCTTCAGTTTTGCTGCACTGATTCACAGCCAATCTGAGCCACTGCCTTTGCGTGAGATGTAATTTTGTTAAACCCTTTTCTCTACCATGAAATCCTTGTTAACTGTGCATGCCAGTAACTCATTGTTAACTTGCAAAGGTTCAATTTCACAGCACTTTTTGCTTTTGTTGAACTTGTTTGGTTTCCACCCTGGGGCAAAATTTTCCCCGTGTTCTAGTTTGAATAGTGCCGTCCAACACAACAGAACCTTCTGTACGCGCACGTTTTTGCTCGTGTTGCATTCACGATTGTGTTACAGCTGCGTTTGATCTTCCCTGGCCTATTCGTAATTGAAAGTACACTGGTTCACCCTTTTCTCCCTAAAACGTCGTGCATAAGTCGGTTAAGTTTGTCTGTATTCTAACAGAGACCAATTAGACTGCGG